ATATTAAGCTCAACATTGTATCAACCTGTAATGCAATAATCTTAATAAAGGATCACTGGCAAGACTGCCAAAGATAGGAAAAAAAAAAAAAAAAAAAATACAAACTCTTTTCTAAACAAATTCATAAGAGATAGAGTGTAAACAAAATACATGATAACTACTTAATACAAGTTTATAAACTACCTAAAACAGGATCCAACAAGAGTACTAGCTCTTGTACCAAAGAAAAAAAAGCATATTTCTCTTGGAATACAAAAAACTTACAACAAAAAATTAAAAATATAAAATTTTTTCTTGAATAAAGAAGGAGAAATAAATAGCATATCAAAACAATAACAAAGAGAAGAAGCTACTGCAAATATAGCTATGTTAATACAAGTAGTCAAAACAACTGCAAAAAATGCTAATTAAGAAGAACTAGTCTCTTCAAAAAAAAAAAGTCAAAGCTCAACCTTATGAACACATTAATATATATAAACGAAGAACAATAAAATAACAACAAAACAAGTTACATTACAAAACACATACAAGGTCATATGAATACAGATCAAAATTAATCACTAGAACAAAATATATCAGGTGTCATAGAATTTTCAGAATATAATCCATATATTGGGAGCTCAATCTCGAAAGAAAAAGCTAAAGCAAATATTAGCCAAATAAAAGATACAACTAACAAAAAGTAGTCAAGCTTATTTGCAAAACTAAAAAAAAGTCAATTGATATATGCAGCTTTCTCTTCTAAAGAACAAATAAAAATCAAAAATAAGAATACATTAATTATTGAAATACAAGATATTCAAAGCTCTTTTAATGAAATAATGATTTCACTTTATAAAAGTATCAAACAAGATGTTATAATAGCAAAGCAACATTTCAAAAAAACAACCGTACTTATCTAGAAATTATCTTCAACAAAAATACTCTTAGCTATCATGTAGCTAAGAGTATAAATATTTTTAACAAATTATATTTTGAATATATCCCAACAGACCCACACAAGTTTTTTTTCTAGTAAAACTCAAAAATGTTCTATTAGAAGGAAAAAAGGAGATAACAATGCTAATCAAAGATGCATTTCAAGATTTTGACAAAATAGCCTCAATTAAACTACTAGTAATCGAAATAATATTATATTTAACTGATCAGTAGATTATCATTTTGACTCAACTAAAGATACAGATTTAGAAAAATAAATTCCTCGTTTTACTTATCTTAGAGATAACAAAATTACAACTGAATGGAAAGCAGCTCCTAAAGTCTGCTATTTTTGTGACCAAGAGGGACATATAAAAAAAGAATACTCTCAGTACAAAGAATTAGTTGTATTAAGACAATATTATTGAGAATTCAAAGAAGTCTTCAAGACAAGAGACAAAAATAACTATAGCAAAATAGCTCAAGAAATAGAAAGTCTTCCAAAAACTAAAGAGAAAGAAGAACCAAAAGAGGAAGCAATAAGCATAGAAATATAAGATAAACAAGAAATAAAGAATGTCTCTTCTAGTATAATAGACAAAATAGAAGACTTACAGAAAGAAACTAAACAAACAACTACTTTCTTAGAAAAAGAACTTATAACAAGAAATGAGCTAGCACTAGATGGTCTATCATTTAAAGATAATAACAAAGAGAATAACCCTTTTTAAGAAAATATATTGTCAGCAATTTCAATAGAAGAAGACTTTACAACAGTATCTTACAAAAGGAAAAAGAACAAACAAATCAAAAATATATATAAACAAGTAACAGTAAGGTAATTTCTATACAAGAAGAGATGAACAGAGAAGAATTCTCTAAAAGCTCAATAAGAGCATATCTACCCTTATAATCTAATAACTAAAGCAATAATTAAAATTACTACTCTAAATATAAAGAGATTTAATGATCAGAACAAAAAACAAAAAACAATGACACCTTTAAAATCATATAACTTAAACTTAATACTATTATAAGAAACAAATCTAAACAATTAGACAACACAAACTTTTATTAAGAAGCAATAGATATATGAATCAATATAGACAAACAGAACTGCGATACTAGCAGGAAGAAAAGAAATAAAATTTTAGAATACAGAGATCTTATAAGAAGGAAGAGTAATCTTTACAAGCTTTATATATAGAGGTCAATCCTTCT